ACCTGCCTTATTACTACCTTAATTTTTTTTAATTCTAGAAAACAGATGGGCATTTTTTTTTGATTATGGGCTATATTTTATTTTTCTCATATAAAATGTTTTTTGCCATTTTATTTGGATCTTTATGATATTCGTATCCGTAATTTTTATGATCTTCGTAATGGAGATCTTTATATATATTAGAGCTAGTCACTTTTTCTTATATTTGATATAAAAACTTCCCCCTCATCTATAGTTTTCTGTCGAATCTTTATTTAGGGTTTATATTTATTATTTAGTTGAATTTGTGGATCTTTCTTGTAGTATCTGCATTTGCTTCAGTTTTAGTAATTGCATTATGTTCCTGAGGTTAAGATGGTATGACTATGGTTCTCAGAAGTTACTTCCAAGTAATTTGCTACCAATAATAGTTAAAATACTAAAACTTGTTAATTGACTATATGTGTGTATATTAATAAATTTATTTAGGGTGATTAATTATTTAGGGTAATTAAATTATTTAGGGTGATCCTTTCAGGATTAGTCCTATAATAATGTTATCAGCACCGTCAATTGTATTTCAATGTATTTTCTTGAGGTAGGATGTCAAAGACTGCTCGTAACTCTGAGCTTATGATTTATATATTTGTTTATCCATTTTGCTTGAATTGTTGCTGTGGCTTAGTTTTTAATTTGGTAGATCTAAGTTCGTATTTTGTTATCTTAAAATGTATAGCACAGAAAGACTGATTCAGAGAGTTTCTTATTTTAATTCTTTAGGTTATATATCAGTTATGTGCATGCTCTGATACATCTGGTCCTACTATGAGGTATTTGAGAACCAGCCAGGATTTCTTATTTTCTCAGTTGCAACATTTGCCTTTTTCGAACAAAGGTAGGACATTATTTGCCCTTATTATTGCAACAAATTTATAAGTCCATGTTGGGTGATTTTACTTATACAATATTTGAGGGAATTCTGTTCTCATTTTGATACTTTCCTTCTTTGTTACTTTGGGTTGCTTTTGTGATTTGTTCTTGAGAGGCCTGATGTTTTAGCTTGGTAGTATAAACTTATTTAAACATAGCTGATCAAGTATGGAATTTGATTCTTTTACTAACAAAAAACTTTAAAGATTATATTGAAGGGATAAGAAAATATTTATAAGAGAAAATTATGAAAATTTAGCTTTTGAATGAAAATCGTTTTATAAAAACCCCTGATTTAGTTTTCTTTTGTATATATCAAAACCAAGTGAGGTTTTGAAATGAAATACTGAAAACTGGTTATGGTGGAAAACATTTATAACTTAGTTTATTGACATAACTAATAATTATCCCAAGCTATTGATGTCTTATCAGGATTTTACTTTATTTTCTTTTTGATTGACTTTTAAGAATTTTCTAAATTCAAATTATATCTAGACAGTGTTAGTCTGTAGAGTATTTTTTAAAATTTACCTTGTATCATCTTTATATTTTAGGAAATCTAGACTTCTATATTTTGTAAATAAATTTCCATTGTTAGTAATTGTCAGCTTTTAATTTACCTTTTAGAGTAATGATGTCAGAC